CGATGCAAAATATCCGATGTTTGGAAAATTTGCTGGAGACATTCGCTCGAGCTGAAATTTTACATGTGATCAGATATATGTCAAATTTTGTTTTAGAAAATGTAAGCAGTTATTATTATGTAAAGTTGCAGGATATAACCGTTCGGATACTTATGACCGCTACTGTAAGGGGTGGTCGGTGACTTTTGGTACGGGAGTGTATAAATGCAGTTTTGGGGACCCTGGACGGGATTTACACAATAAAAATGCGGTTTTTAGGACCCCAAACGGGATTTACATAGTGACGGGATTTACATACGACAGATGCATGATGCTTGATGTTGCCAAATTTAAATGATAAACGTAAATTACTGTCACTTAATTTGTATTGGCATTTTTATTTGCATTCTAGCAACAGTTCCCACCCTTTAATTGTGATATTGGAGTCATCACAAAGAGATATGTAATGATAGATTTCATATAGATCGACTCAAAGACATGTGATCGGACTATCAGCTATGTGTAACTTTGCATTATAGCAACTCCGTTCAGCAACGAGTAATTTGCTAGTTGAGATACAGTATGTTTATTCCACTGAATTTTCTCCATAGAAAGAATTTTTTGTTGCGTTAAAATAACGTTGTCCTATTGATTAATATATATATTTTAATCGCTGATAGCCTACGATGAACTATAATTACGCTCAAACTCAACGAAGACCAAAAATTACTTTTTTTTTGTTATTAATCATTCCGTTAGTTTGAAACGATTGTATTTCTGGTCTTTCAAAAACCCGCCCGATACAGATATACTATTTCTGCGCAGCTTAAGTTTAAACGTGGTACATCATCGGATAATAATATTCTACGAGTGAGTGCTTTATGAGAAAGAAGCGAAAAATAAAACAATGTATATTAATTGCATGAATGTTCGCTCATATTTTCTCAAACTAATCCATTAACAATTACACCAAAGTCTTTTTTAACTCCAGGAATTGCACTCAAATTGCTTTCGGCAACTACTTAAACGTGAAAAGATAACTTTTCGCGTGCTCAATGCAAGACTGCTTATGTTACGTGTTGTTTAATAAATTATGAAGCACCAATCCTTTTGCAGTTTACCATAAGCAATATGCAATTATAAGCAAAACTTGGTTGACATGAGGATGTCATTTAAGTTATGCAAATTTTGACGGGACTTGGTTCGCGTAATACCACCACCGATTCTCGCTTGCCAATCAGACTTTAATTCAAAATTTCTTCTCTCGTCCTCAGCATTACTCTCTTATTCGTCAAGCGGATCCATATAACATTGAAGTCGAGCACTATATGGTGATTGGTGTGCGAAGAAAATAGCTAGAACTCTTGGCTATGTAACATTTTGCCCAGAGATGTATCCTGGATATTAGCATCGGGGATTTAAAGATAATGTCAGTGTAGATGATAACAAGGAATTAAAAAATAAACGATATAATATTCTTGTGTTCTTTAAAGATTAGAGGATGGTCATACGGTGTTTAAGAATAACGAGTTATGTAAATAAGTGAACATCACATATAAATACAAATTTTTATTACAAGTACATGATAACAAATTATGATACACAACTTGGGAACTTCGCTAGCTCGTACTAATCTAAAGGAAAACGCTTTGATAATTAGCGTATCTGATCTTTAGGGAATAATGTTATATACACAAAGTCGATGCCTTCATGTGCATGGATTGACTAAAGTTACTTCTTCGCAGACTTTGTCACCTGAGGCGAAAGGATTATCGCACAATTTATCGCACGGGGTTCCGGGTTTCACAAAGACGCGGTGTTCATTACCTGCAGGCAGCTTTAGACGCCAATGGATAGCCTTTTGGTCATTATCAGCATCCGCCTTGAACCCAGGACGGCAGACGCACTAAAGAAAGGTAGGAATCAATCAACAGAATCAATCAAATCAACGACTTGAGGAAGGAAGAAAAATAAAGTACTGCTCACCATGGCACCTTGATCAGGTGTTACAAAGCAACTAGTAGTTACATCGCATTTGTTTAAAGGAGGGTTGGGGTTACACTGAACACACAGAGGTTCGCGCTTGCAGGTGGAGCTGCATCCGTCGCCATTGCGTTTATTTCCGTCATCACATTCTTCAATCGGAGAGTCAACGATGCCGTTTCCACATTTGAACTTGCAGAAACTATCACATGTATCGGATCCAAAAGGTCCATCATCACATTCTTCGTCAGGAGAGTCTACAATCCCATTACCACAACGTAACTTGCAGTTTGCGTCACAAAATTTTGAACCGCTGGGTCCATCATCACACTCTTCACCAAAATCAACACGAAAATTGCCACAGACTTCCGAGCGACACTCTCGATCACAACCATCGCCAGGATCCAAGTTGCCATCATCACACTCTTCACTGCCTTGGCGTATGCCATCACCGCAAATAACACAAGAAAGACTGTATAAATCACATATGCGTCTATAGTCCAGCGGGCTTGGATTGGGACCTCTACGAATACTGTTTTTGGAATCTATCGGACTCAGAGTAGTCAAGGTTGTGCCAGAGGCATCTACTCGGCCAAAAGCATTTTCGAAATAATGCATCAAAGAACTAAAATCATATGCTCCGGAAGAGTCTTGATCATCTTTTTTGACAAAGTTGCATTCTCGGCTACAACAACTGTCCTTTGTGATTACAAATCCAGACGTTCGTACGGGACAGGGTTTACCATCTTTATCCAGTCCACCATTAATGTTCTCAGGAAAAATATGGAGAAAACTGTCACGATCCTTGCGTTGGTGTTCATGCCACAACCCTAAAGCATGACCAAACTCATGAGCCGCATTATCCGTATTACAACCAGGCTCAAGATTCATACTACTCTTGCGGTTGTTTACCCATCCAATATTGCAATTACACCCACCATCGACTGTATTGCTGATTTCAATGAAAGCTCCAGTGGCACTAGGATCCTCCACAAACTGGAGGCCAGAAATGACGCTCGTCCACCTCCTAGTTGCCGCCGTGACAATAGCATCCAAAGCAGTCTTGGCAGCATCGTCAACATATTTGTAAGGGAGGCGAGCACCTGGCCATGGCCGCTCTGTCCCAGTAGTAGCAAAAATGGAGTGAGCTCTCTTGCTGATTTGAGTATCATTGTTGGCAGCTGCAGCCGCAGCAAGGAGTTCTGAAAGCGTGCCATAGACAATATCGCCTTCCACTACAGCATTGTTGTCAGGAGTGACATAGTATGCCACATTACGAAGACCGTACCCATCAAGGATTCGAATGGTTTTGACAGTTGCATTGAAGGGTTCGTCGACGATAGCCGGAGGGTTTGGTGGACGGGTATAGTTGCCCGGTTGAGCATTTAAAAGCTCCGCCATGATGAAGACAGACAAAATGAGTAGAATTAAATTGAATCGATTCATCGTTGTTGAGATATTATTCTTTCTCGCTCTAACTTCAGTCTTAATGACTGCTTTTAAGTGTTTGGTGGGATGGCAAGATCTTTTATTCTCAAAGACAAGCATTGAATTGTTGTTGTTATTGTTGACCAGCTTCGCCCCCTAAACTGATCATTGAATCGTTCAAAAAGATTAGTATGAGATGCGCAGCCAAAATAGAAAATTCTACGTACCTGCATTACGGCGCAATGCTTAAGCAACTGGCTTGGCCAAATGTCTTGATATTCACTTCTTGTTGACTCCGAGTTTCAACACAGTAGGCGAGAGCATTGATCAGAATGTAACAATGATATTTACCCAAGTCGGATTAAAGACTACATCTTTCGATATTGAAGTCATAGGCTTCGTTTTGATATGGATATTCTTCATGCAAGACGGGTGTTCTACAAACTTTTAAGTTTGTGCGTGGCTGAAGCCTTGGATTGCGTTGTACATGGCTTTTCTTGGGTAACATCGTACAATTCGTCACGCGCTACCTTTAAGTCAACAATATACTTGACTTGGAGTTTAAATTAAAACCTTTTGAAGGTTGAATTGGAAAGTGTAGCAAAGGGTATTAGTTGGCTTCTGAGATAACATTATGTCGTGTAACAAGAAATTGGTCCAATATCTCTGACGATTCTATTTATAAATCTTGTCCAAATTTAGAAGGGTTTAATCTTGAAAGTGGTAGACGGTGAAACCTGTCTATAAACCTGCATAACGACTATACCGAATTTTAACTAAGCCGGTTTAAATATCTATTAATATTAATATTAATGCCATCATAAATTCGTGTCACCCGGAAACTGAATATTAGAGAATGTGAACTGGTTTCAGAAGATGCGATCACAGCTATAAAAAGAGCTAATCCCAAAAATAAACTTTGATAGTAATAGTATTACTTACCGCAAAAACACTTTACTAGCTCGCTAAATGAAATACAGAAAGATTCAACGGTCTCAACTGACCCCGTAGTAGACAAACCAAGTCAGAAAAAATAGTATGATTGCCAGTCTTCTACTTGGGGACAAAATGTCGCATGTTTAATAAAAAAGGCGAACTACGCTATATAAAAAACGGATCTGTGTTATCATCTTAAGGAACCCAAATATCGACACTTGAGGAATTGTTACCAAATCTTTACGAATAGTCCAAAGCGTATCGCGAAAATGGTACAATCCAATCGATTACTACCAAATATTGATAAATTTTCTCCTGAAAGAGAGAAGGTTGTTATATTCAAAGATTGAAATAAAATTGTTCCATTCCAACATCAGTTATCTAGATTATTGTACTCTTTAACGGAGCTGGTACATATGATGAATTGGTTGATATTGTTAGGCATTATACAAAAATGGCGTAACGCTGTTGATATAATTGATAAAAATCTCAAGGCCAGCAATTCATTGTAATTGACTTCACTAGAGCAAAAGAGAAATAAATTAAGAGTAAGTATTCATTCCGCTTACGCGCAGGTATTCCCTGCTTTAAGAAGCACATTGCACACTCAGTGCATAAAAATTTTGTGAAAAACTACCAAAAACCATTGAGTGATTCAAAGTATTACTTTTTTTTTGTGCTGTGTGGTATTCTGATATTACTCAAGTAATAGCATCTGAGATTTATTTCTTCGCGAATGCCTTAATGTTCGGCTAATACTAATTGCTTGACCGCTAAGCAATTGAGACGTACATAAATTCTATCCATTTACAGATGTTGGATAATGACACACACACTCGTATCCTTTCCCGACTTTCCTTTGCTCATTTAAGTCCTGTAATAACATTTGACATCCATAATTCATAATAATGCAACGCATAATTATCGTCAAATGTACAATTAGATTCGAGTTTGCAAAAAATCTTTATACTTTAATCTACAATATTTGTTGCCATTACATAAAAATTTCTAATGTCTCTCCATATACACTTTGAACTTGTCGCAAGAGAATCAATAACTATTTTCGTTACTAGAGAGTTGAACTACCGTCTGTAAATCGTATCAATTTTCTGGCTTCAAGAAACCTTTCGCTATTAATATGCATGAGACTATGAACTAATTAAGCGTTCCAAGATCCGTTCTTTCCAAAAGCATTGTGTATTTTACAATTTGAATAATATTAAAGAATATAGACTAGGCATTATTATTTGTTTGGTCAATTCACTATTTTGTTGAAAAATACTGATTTTACGCGCTTTATTGTCAATATTTTATCTTGTATACTTTAAAAGTATATTAGTATTGGTATTGAATAAACGATCAGATAATGTAAAACAATATGTACAACTTCGTGAACAATATAAGAAGTCGATTAGTCTCTCATCAAATTTCAGTCACTCAAGGCGACAGCAAGACTTATAAACGTAATTCAAATAAAACTTTATTTGTATACTTAAATCGCTAAAAAGGCGATTGACATAGTAAAGCAAAAACCACTAATTTCCAATATTGTCGCATGTCGACAACACACTAAGATCGTCACACTCCCAATGACGGAGAGTAAATCCAGAAGGTTCACACCCCTTATTATTCCAATATTTACCATGGTTCGCTACGTATACCTCGTCACAAGCAACGTTATCACCGAGTCCTGGGCACTCAAACTTTAAGAACCATTCCACATCCTTAAATTGAAGTGCAGCGTTTGGGTGTTCAGTAAATGCAACTGCTACAGTGTTCTGAGATGTGGAGCACATAGCCAAAAAGCACAAGTCCTGTGCCTTAACGCTTGTGGTTATAAAAATCGTCAATATGCCGACAATCAAAATTTTTGCTATACTGATTGAAATTCATAGTAAGCTATAACGGTAAAAGATAACATAAAATTAGTTGGTTGCTACAAACTGGAACTCAGACTTGATGGTAGCGTAAATTATTTACCTTGTAATTAAAATTTGAAAATCTAAAATTTTTCTAAAGAAAATAAACCGTCTATTTATTCATTATCACAATGCAAAACAATGACAACGCTGTGTTATTGTATGAAAGATATCTGATTTTTAGATAATGCACACACATCAAGCGGATATAGTATCTTGAGCAGAAAAGAATATCCATGTTAGGAAATCAAATTCTAAAAAAGCAAGTTGATACCTGAGGTTTTTTCCATTGTTTGTTCCTGTTCCCTGTTTCGATTTTTCTATGTTTCCAAATTTGGTACAAGATTAGACTGTGTTCTTATCAAAAACGAAAATAATAAATTAATGTGAACACAAAATAATGTATAGATGACACGTATTCATCATCACTTGATTCAGAACTTGCTTCATCAGAAGACTTTTCAGAAGAATCTGCAAGTAATAGTAATAGTGCTTGTTTACGTAGCAGTAGCACATTATCCATGAACATAACGATATTAATTCTTTATCTTCGTTCTCGAATAAGATCAACACAATTAGTTACGGACACAGAATAACGATAAGGGAATGTTGATGTATTGGTTTCGTGCCTCTCATCAGTCCAATCAAACTTATCGTTGGCTAGATAGTGCTCATCAGTGGTATTATAACAAGAGATAATTTAATCACATTCGGACAAAGTTTTTCCGTGAATCAGCCACTTTCAGCTTTCTTATTATTGTTGACATTGCGCCCGCCAACCCAAAGCAGCTTGCACCATTCGTTTCATTTAAGAAACCCGCCGTGGCAGCAGAAAACAATTTCCTCTCCTTAAGACTGAAATTAGTTTTTGCTCTCCGTTAATGAGCAATTTCAATAGCTATGTATTTTGAAATGTAGTACATTAAAAGTTATTATCCAGTCGACAGCAATAAAGAAAAGTACTCGCTACTGCCAGAAAAGTTATATTCTTCTAAAGTTCATAATTCCGTTAATCGAAACCATTACAGGGGTCAAGACATGTTCGGATAACATTGTTTCAGCACTTCAGATCTTCATTCTATGAATGCAGACGCTGAAGAACTAATGGCTAATTCGCATTCGAGAATAACTCCACGATAATTACAAGCATTCATTCGACTGTACATGGTAATGCTTGAGAACGTCATCGATTCTATAATTCGAGCGTGGCGCAAAGCAACAAACTGTGCGCCTATGTTTGTTACGGGCAGTCATAAGTTCCTCGCGATAGTTACGGGCAGTCATATCTGACAGTGGGTTTACTACTCTGATAATACCACGGTTGGTAGTGTAATTATAAGTGTGATCGGAAAATTGTAATCTCGTGTCTGTTTATTTCATGTCTGCCTTTATCGACATAACACTCTATCACTACTCTTGAATTTGCAACTCGTACACTCAGCATAATAGTTCTCACAACTATATAGCCATCTGGTGAAGCGTACTTCGTTCGCGTTCTGTCGTATTTGGTTTGTATTCTTTTACTAGTTGTTTTCTAACCCGCTTTAGCGAATAAGTTGCCCGCTATTAATAGTAGATTCTCGTTATCTGTGTATCGTTACTTTTTCCCACACCCACTGACTACCAGTATCAGCTAAGCTAGAACTTACTTAACTTCAAAGGGTATTATAGATAAAGCTAATCCTTAAGAATCAGAAGCAAAATAAATTTAAGTTCACAGCTTTTTTAAAGAAAAATAGAAATTTGGACACTGCACATAAAACTCAATCTTATCGATACAGTTGAAACAAACGAAGACGGCATTGAGCGACGATTGACTAAACGAAAAGCTTGGGAAAATAATGAACAAGTGATTCAAGATATCCGGACAGTTTTCGAAGAGTGATCTTTGGTGGAGATTGGAAGCCATACACAACAATGATGGTATATTTGTTCTATATTGAATTGAATACTTATACGTTATCTTAATAAGGCTCAAAATAACAGGGTATATTATTGAACACCGTTACGTACGTAAGAAAGCAAACTTGTTGAGAAACCAAATGATTTGCGAAAATCCGAGCCTTTACTCATCCTACGAAATTATTCCAAACTGTCTATAAAAGAAACAAGCCAATTATATTCTCAACATTTGGGGATTCCAAACCTAGTTGTACTATACTACGTCATTTTATTCTATCAGTTTGCTTATCATCTATTCTTTACAAATTTGTGACGCTAAATATTGTGAGTTCAGATCATTATCATTGGTACTGACAAATGGTATGATAAAGACTTTGTTGGCGCAAAGTACAAACTCAGAATGCATATAATATGGAATAATATGAATAAATAAAATTGATATACTCTAAACTTTGAGAACCATCGCGGTCATTCTAGAGTACGATGTGTCTGAGAGTGTATCATCTGAGCTCCTTATCTAGCACAAGATTAACTTCATCAGCCCATATTACTGTTTTTGTCTTGAGACAACATCGGGTGATCAATTCTATGGAAGAACAAAATTTTCCCTGCTTAGTTTTTAGTGGAATTTCGTCATCATTCGACTGTGTTCTCGTTACACACAATGTGGTCTGATTTCAACAATCCTCTCGCCACCTTTTTTATCCAATCATACGCCATAATTTTGCGAAATGATGATTTGCGGAATGTGGGCTGACTGTTGGATTACGAAAATAAAAGTTGCGTGATTAATTTTATCACCTCGTCCAAAATGTATATAAAGACAACGCTAGCCGAAAGCTTTTCCTCATTGGAAAAAACAAATATTAAATATTAAAATATATTATATATTATATATATAAGAAAGAAGCAGTCAGACTATAACAAACATCATAAACGACCGATTGATCGCCAATACCAAATCTCTTAAGAGTGAAGAAAAACCATTAATCCGGGTTCAGAACGAAAAACTTGACTGCAGCTTTACAAACATTGTTCGTATATTCGACTTCTTCGACCCTGACAACTCAAATCAAAAAACTCTTTCTCTCGTCCGTTAATTTAATACGGAAATGTCACAAACGGCGGCGCACAGTATCCGATTAATGATGAGGAAAGTTCCAGCCGAAGCGTATCCACTTGCGACATGTACTTTTTTTGCGGTGTTCTACGGAATCGGGCAATCGGTTTACAAAGTTAGAACTGATTCACAATTGCGGCTTTTCCCTTCGCAGTCAACTCCGCCACCGTCTTTTCCACGTCATCGATAATTATTAATATACTACATACAGTATGCATACTTATAATTCCAAATAGTTTTATTTTATTATTATTATTATCTTAGTTTACATAGGAGATTTATACATATATTGTTAATTGAAGCACGGCAATATAATAATAATAATAGAACTAATACTGAATTTGGAACGGTCCCTAACCCCTTGGGTTGGGAGGGGATATTATTGGTTGTAAAGAGAAGGGTTTAGCATTTTTATTTCGAATTGCTTTGGTGATATTACATCTTCTTAAGTTTATGTTTAGAAACTTTATTATTAGATTATTGTCTTTTTTTTTGGAGGGGATATGATTGGTTGTGTTGTAAAGAGAAGTTTTGGCAAGCTTTGTTATTATTAGATTATTGTCTTATTCTTTTTTGTCTAACCATCATATATTTTATGCTGTATTTTATTGTATATCTATTTTTTTTTTTTTACTCAAAATAAATGGATGTGATATAATTAAATAATACGCAACAAAGCCAAATGTGAATAATCCAAAAAAATATCAATAGATTCGATTCAAAGTTGACGCAAAGTTCATACTTTGTTTTGACTGTCACTGAAAAGCGACTAGTTTACCTCATAACAAACCGATTAGCCGAATCATTATTAACGAGCAGATTGAATTAACTAAGACTGCTCTAAAAAACAATATCAAATAGAATTAAGTGTAGTGTAAAAATTTAGAGGGCGTACAATGGCAAGCCTTTTAGTATAAGCGGCGTTGCTGTCAACAATAAAATAAATTTAGATTTAGATTCTCAAAACAAAACAATATAGTTGATTAAATTTCTTTGAAAGTTTGTTTGCTCTTTCGAGTTAGCAATGTCATTTTGCATTTGAGGCGGATATCAAAACGCTCTTTGTATCGTAACCTATTTAGAGAACAGTTCAGTATGTTGAATCTTATTTTGCGATGTCATATTGAAAGCAACAAGCTCACGATACGTGTATTAACTTCATGATTGAAATAGTTTTTTGTCCTCTCTGTTTCTAAATAAGCAAACTCCAACAATCTTTTTTAAGCTCTATCATTAGGTTAGAGTGATGTTTTATCGTCTGGATCGAGTCGAGATCTTTTATTTTCTTGATTAAAAGCCTATAAAATGCTGATAATTTTATTAGTAGCGATAATTTGGTTACAATGTTCTCATAAATTGAATAAGAGTTTAACGAAGTATGAAGGTCAAATGGTATAGTGCGAGTTGCTGGTTGTTCTTGAGTATTTGCATGCCGCCAAAGCTGTGATTCTTTTGTCTTACAGGGTCTTAACTTTCTGTCAAACTCTCGACATACAGAAAATTTCTTGTTAGTAGCTTCTGATAGACTGCGATTGTCAAAAGATTGTTTAAATACAGCTTTAGCAAGATAATATACGAACGTTGAGTAGAAGTTGACGTTATTACTGTATTAACTGAATTTTGTTTATCACAAGTATTTTTTATCGTACAAATTTGTCTGCTATGGGGAAATTACGTATTGCGATATTATATCCGAGGCCAAGGAGAATTATGTGTTCTTCTCAGATATAACGTGTGCATAGTACAATCCTACTTACAAGTCAAACGTAAGCGACTAATAAAATTTACAGCTACAAATAAGTCATAATATTTAAAACATACAGTAATACCTTCCCTATTAAAATTTCCATCTTGTCTTTGGAGATATTTTACGAACAAGGTTATGAATACAATCAATTTTATGAATCAGCCTCCGCAAGAAATATACCCAATTAGCATTAGCCTCTGCGAAGCATGTTTCTAACATTGTTAAGTATCTATTTTTGGAACAAAATGTTTAAGCCCACGTATTATTATGTTGCACACACTGATATATCGTTACGCTAGTGCTAATTGGTTGATCCAGATAAAGTTCCTCTCTGACGCTTCACACTAAAGTCTTCACTTATAACAGCCGAATATTCTTCATCAATGTGCTGCCCATGCACGCTGGATCTTAAAAAACAGACCACAATTCGAACAAATCTAAGGGCAATTTTCACCCAGAAATTACGAAAAAAGGTGGTGTACGCCTTTGTAATATGAGCCTTAATTCAACCTTGCTCAAATAAAAAACTAAATACCTTATTTGTGCACTTAATTGATTTGATACAAGTTAACTATCCTAGTTTTGATTCGAAAATTTTTTTAAAGCAAATCTAATCGTTTATCAAAGACAGACCTTTTTAAATATTTTAAATGCAAATTTTTTCAGAAATACACAACACAAGCAACCCATATAAAACATAAAAAAATTGCCGATGTGATTGTATTTTTTTTTTGAAAGCAGGTCTCTTCATACAATGTGGTGTTTGGTTAAACAGAAAAATTCGCCATATAATAATTGTTACGAGTACTTTACTATAGTTCTCACCACATCACTACATGATAATACTGGCTGTAAGTAATTAGCATATGACAACTATTCCTTTTCTAACACATTATTAATTAATCTATATTTTATCCACTTACTTACTACTCCAATTTCCCAGATAACCCCCTTCAATTCATACACGCACATACGTGGACCCGCACAATCGCCACAAAAAGATCCGCTGCCCAAGTACAAAATAATATCCTCTCGTACCACACAATACGTAAGTGGCAGTAAATCATAGCAGAATTTGATATTATAGCGTACCACAAATCCTCCAAGAAAATCTACATAAGAGAACAAAGAAGGGAAAAGTAGGATCATCACCATCAATCCCCCAACAACTCTGCTTCACAGAAAAAATCTCAATTATATGAAAAGATATGGTTAACGTTCTCCTACAGGATAGCTAGAGTAAATTGGAAATCCTGTCTGTTGATGTTGTCTTATTGACTATATTAAAAATAAACAAACAAAGAACTACCGTCCTTGCCAGTACTTACCTACAAAGCCTCCCTCCCAATAAATGAAGAATAATAAAAATGAAAGCAGCGAAAATATTTTCATAAGATTAAACCATGTTTAAACTGTTATGCCAAATTCGACTATGTCTGAATAATCATATTTTTTATTTACGTATATAAATAATCTTGCCTATAAAGACGAGATTGTCAAAGGTCGGTGGTTATAATAACCATTCTATATTCGAATATTATTGCTTTACTTAAATTATCCAACCGGTAGATAAAAATCCATCGCAAGCTTGATGATCACCCCAACATTGTTCGATTCCTCGGAGTCAGTCATGGTAAGCGTTGAGGAATTGTGCGACATGACGTTAACAGAGACCCAATTTATAGATACGCTCAGTAGACGTGGTTCATTGCGACGATGTTACTTGTCGGACCCATCTATTGAACTGGATTAGCCTATGAGACACAACCTTGGTCTTATCTTCACGAGCGCAACATTTTACATATAAATCATATATTATACAGCACGTTTTATATTAATTAATAACACTATTATTTAACAGACTTTGGTTTGTCTGACTTGACCTTAAAACAAAAAAGTTATTTAAACAGTACCCCAGATGCATACACAACAGTGATGCTAAATGCGATCAAAAGTCAGATATATTTAGCTTGCGAGTGGTGCACAGCAGAAAAAGACCATGTGACGGATCCATTATTAGCTGTTAGTAACTTTATTTATTTAAGAAACGGTATAACAAGGACGGTTAACAGTGAGACTAATGTAGTTCGCAGAAATGTAAATGCAAATTGACACCGACTATTTAGCATGATTTGAATTTGCATATACTGATTGGCTTGATTCTTCGAAAACGTGGAAATCGATTTTCGTCGTCAATCACTAACAACTCAATAACCAAAAACTCTATACCCATGGCATGTTAATTTCCATCTCTCCTTTTCGCTTCTTCGATAACTTTCTTATGCTCTTTCAATTTCTTACACCGCTGCTCTTTTTCACATTCTCCCAACCTCTTCCCAATCACCGTCTCAACCACTCCCCAACCACTCTCTCAACTGCTCTCACAATCATTCTCCCAATCGCTCTCCAAATCACTTTCCCTTCACTCTCCAATTCTACTCCAATTGCTCACACTTTTGTGTAGTTAGTCTTTTATCCAATGACAACACTTTTGATCTCCCCACTTTCTTTCGATCGCTCCTGATCTTTTTCAAACTCGTTCTCTTGCTCTCCCTCACTCCTCTTGCAATCACTCACACTTTTTCAATTGCTCACTATTTTAATTCTCACTCTTTCATATCTCTACTTCTTTCAGTCTTTCAATCATGCTTTCAGTCTTTCAATCATGCCTTCAGTCTTTCAATCATGCTTTCAGTCTTTCACTTGTTCGCCACTCTCAATAATTTCACTCTTTTGTTCACCTCCTCTCTTTATCGTGATCACACTCTTGCTATTTCACAATTACTTTCTCATTCTCTCATTCTTTTGCTTTCTCATTCTTGCTTTATTATTCTTACACTCTCTTGCTCTCTCTGTCTCTTATATATTCTCACCTGTCACTCGCTCAGACAGTTCTTTCCCTCTTGCTCCTAACGCTACCTGCAATCCCTCCAATGGTTCTGTAATCTTTGTACTCAGACTTTTCCAAAGAGGTTATGACTTCGCCTTTACGTTGCATATCGCCGTAGCTTATGTAGCAGTCCGTATAACGTTTCTCAGACAGTTCTTTCACTCTTGCTATTAAAGCTACCTGCAATCCCTCGCAATGGTTCTGTAATCTTCGTACTCAGACCTTTCCAAAGAGATTATGACTTCCGCATTTACGTTTCGTATTAAATTAGTGTTGCCATAACTTATGTTATAATGTGGGAGTGTCTTTATTGCATTTCCCCCGTTATTATTATCATATTTTTTATCAGCGTTGTGTGTCACATGTTAAAAGATCGTCGGTAAACATGCCTTTATTTGTTTATATGACTCATATGAGCTCCAAAAAAATGTTACTCCCCACTTTACATCCATATATAATTATAAAAAGTATAAATAACAACATATCAACTGCTTTTTTGCCACACACCTCATAATAAAAAGTTTTTATTTCTTTTTCGCATCATACTTATTAGTTTGAAAAAAAAAATGTCTCAAGTTCTCGATATATTTACCGTCGATTCTCTTCAAGCAAATGAAATTACTACAATGTTACTAATTCGCGGTTGGTCTATTAATGACCATCAATTCCCATCCTCTTTATCTTTTACTCCACCATCCGAAATACCACATACTGGCTTCCGATGAATTGCAAAAAGTTTTACGCCTATTTTGTGAAGAAGATTACACTCAATTCCCTGTTCTTATTGCTCGCGTTATTATACCCGAAATATGCAAAATGGGTAGTCAGAAATAATGACATTACTTATCCTTTGCGAACATATAATAATCGAACATGCCTTACGCTAGCTCCAATACCTCTCAATATACCAAAAAATATCTATCTCTTATCAACATACTACCAGCCTAAGTAGTTTTCGACCAAATATACTGGTAATAGATTTCTAGTACACGTTAATGGCATAAATTTCCCTTGCAAACAATTCCTTTACAATATTGTTTTGCTCTCGTAGTAGTCTCGAGGCTGACATCGCCACACATCTTTCTACATCTGGATAAACAATTTTTCGCTACTGGTCAAACTCAGCCGTGCACCATCGTGGGACGTTGTAGAAATTCAAACAAGCGTTTGCCGTTGATCAAGCTGTCATACGCAAATTGAACGTCTATAAATAAAATTATAACTCACCACTTCATTTTTTAATTCACACGATTACCCACATATTTCACTATGACCTATTGATTTAATTAGCCATATTTTCGTTACTATCGAATCATATTCCATTACTTGTGACTAAATCAACAAATTGATACTAATTACATTCCCGAAAATTCCATTAAACCTATTTAATTTTACTGACTTACTATTCTTATACTGTACATTATGCATATATTAGACCGATAACGCGTATTTCCCATTTCCCGTAATATTCTTGTCACTTTGTAGAGCTTGTTATTATTATAAAGAATAAAGTTACCGCTCAGATTTTTGATATCTTATCTGTGTAAGAAGTTGAAAGACTTTAAATGCTTTATTTTTTTCATCACATGATTGTCGGGTATAGATGCCTTGCACCATACTTTCTCAGAAAGCTATATCCTAAATAAACTATTTACTGTAATTAATCATTGTTCGCTCATTCGTTCTTCTACTATACTATACATTTTCCCAGCGTATGCGCTTGCTCTACTTCATTGAGTGTGTCAATACAGTAAGTTGCCGTCATACACAGTCTACCAATATTTCTTATAATGATTCCAATAAAGATTGTTATTTAGTTTGAATGACCGTATTACATACAGTAACAATAAAAATCCTATCCAAATCCCTTTCGCTAACTACACAATCAAATTTCCCTCTCACAACGATTCCTAAACACAAATAATCGCCTTGACAAAACCTTTATCTACTAACAGAAATAAAGTCTTATCCAAATCTCTTTCGCTAACTAATCTATGTCTTTTGCTGCACAACCAAAATGATATTGTTCAAATTTAAACTATTTAGCTCATCACTCTCCTAACTTATCAAGCATACCAACGTAGTAAAAAATTACGTAAAAATTAATTTGATAATTTATACCATATTTCTATTATTCTTGTAAATTTGTTGTACCAGAAAAATACAAACACCCCCCCCCCCTGCATATATGCACGCTCCAGCTCTTCCCAAGGGACGTGCATATATGGAGGGTAGACTGTATTACTGTATAAAATCGCAAGTGACAGCCACAAGGGGGAGCGAAGCCCCCTATAAATTCTAAATCTAGTTAATAAATAAGTTAAGAAGGTGGGACGGAGTAATGCATATAATTTTGATGTATCACAATGGAGGTTTTCATATCAATAAACATTTGGTATTAATGGGGGCAACTGACGAAGGTAAGACATATATTTTAAACGTAAAAGACATAGGTGTTTAAAAGTTCAGTATCTGTTTATCGATGTAAATAATACTGTTGGAATAGTGAATTTTGCATAATATGATTGGTTTAGATAATCAGCCACAAATGTGTAAAGAATTCAGTTAATATTATTCTCTACAACATAATAGAAATAATGGATTATAACAAACAGACTATTGCAAGTGATATCCATTAATAGGTATATCGCTTATACAGTTTTTTGCTTTAAGCAAATTTCTAGTATACACAAAAAAGTATATTTCACATATCAAGCTAAAAATGTTGGGGGATGTAATTAGCGTCGGTCGGCAGAAATTCCGCACGTTTAGGAGTTTTGCCAGTACAAGCTCTTTTAATGAACATCGATCGATCGCTTAGTTGTCAAATGGAAATATCTAAAAATCTTTACTCTACCCTGCCTGCCATTATTAGTATTCCTAATATTGTTTAATCTTTTGTTATATCTCCAAACGAAGTTATCCTTTACTCGTTTGCTTATCCTTCTACTGCTTCAGATTTAGTTGACACATGATATCAGACAGTGGATGTAAAGCAGTGCAATATGGTCGTAACATTTATATCTGAAACAGATCCGGTGATAAAATTCCCTGTTTGACATTCATCAGTTCCTTAATTAAGAAAATCATACACAGATAAGTCGGCCGCAGTATTTATATTATCAAGTACTTTAAACAATATAAATTATGCGGCCGACTTATCGACTTTGCCTGTGTATACTGTTGATGGTCATTGGCCTAATGAACAATTTACGTCGTATGAAACACATAAAAAAAGATTCTAGAGTAACTGACATCTTAATTTGTGAAGGGTAGAATTCGTGTTGTTCGTTTGAACATAATGTGCTGGAAAGTCAATATTGAAATACTTGACAAAGTGTTCGGGGGTGGAAGGACTTATTGTCACTACAAAAGAGGTAATGAAGGATTGTATCACGCGCATGAATGAATTAAAATAATTAAAATGAAACATGAATGGCGCACGTCGGGGGCACAACGATAACGTATGCATTATCATTATGTGTGTAACTATATTGCAAGATTTTAAAAGAAGCGAATGCAAATGATTATGATAACAGTCAACAAATATGGCTTCGATTCACTCTGATAAGGAATGGTTGAGGAAGAATATTGAAGAGGAAAACATCCGTTTTTACTCTTTCGAGAACTTCACTGACGTCGTATATATCGATGGCGGAGGATATGGAGCAATTTTTAAAGCAAAATTGAAAACACTGGGCAGAGTGGTTGCATACAAGCTTCTCCACTCTCACAATGAAGATGAGATAATCGAAGACTTTGTCAAGGAGGTCAGTGACTGTAACGATAATCTTATTTGTATATGCTTTTACTTAAATTATTCAACCGGTATGTTTAGATAAAAACCCATCGCAAGCTTGATGATCACCCCAACATTGTTCGATTCCTCGGAGTCAGTAAGGGTAAGCGTTGAAAAATTGTGCGTCATTATTATGGACATGACGTTAACAGAGACCCAATTCATAGATACGCTCAATAGACATATTATGGTGTTCAAGTATGCGGACAGTGGTTCATTACGCTGTTATTTGTCGGACTCATCTATTGAACTGGATTGGCCTACGAGACGCAACCTTGGTATCAATATTGTTAACGGCCTGACCTATCTTCATGAGTGCGACATTTTACATAAAAATCTGGTAATTATAATGCGCTGTAATATAGTCTCATCTCATAATATTTTACAGAACGTTCTATTAATTAATAACGTTATTATTTAGTCGACTCATAATATATTGATCCATGCCGGCGTGGCGAAAATAACAGACTTTGGCTTGTCTGACTTGACTTTAAAACAAAAAAGTTATTTAAACAGTAAAGGAAGTCTTGCGTATCTTGACCCTAGATGCATGTATAACAGTGATATTAAACGCAATCAAAAGTCAGATATATTTAGCTTGGGAGTGGTATTGTGGGAAATTTCCAGCAGAAGAAGACCATGTGATGGGCTCCAGAATGATAATGACATCATACGTTATAGACTAAATAACAAGCGAGATGCTCCAGTCTCAGGAACTCCAGAAGAATATATCATTTTGTATTCAGAATGCTGGGATGATAATGCAGAAAAAAGACCTTCATGTGAGCAAGTTTCTGAACGGTTAAACTTGATACTTCAAAAAACAACTACAGAACATCCAATGTCTGACAAGCTGGCAACTATATATCAAGAAGAATCATTAAAAGGAAGAACTCACATGCAGATTGCTAATCACATTAAAGATTGGTTAACACATAATGAATATAGTCCTATAACAAGACTCAAAGACCATACAAATTGTGAGCAATGTCTTTGGTTAACTGGGTTTTTTTATGCTTATGGGATAACAGTCAGGAGTGATATTAAACAAGCAATCTATTGGTTTCAACTGTCAGCTGAGCAAGGAAATGCTATTGCACAACATAATCTGGGTTTGTATTATGAACATGAAATTGGGGTAGAAAAAGATTCTAAAAAAGCAGTAGAATTGTATCAAAAAGCAGCAGAACAGGGAAATGCTGGTGCACAAAACAATCTTGGTTTGTGTTATGAAAATGGAATTGGACTAGAAAAAGATAAACAAAAGGCAGCGGAATGGTACAAAAAAGCAGCTGAACAAGGGTATGTT